CTTATATTCCACTCAGGCTACCCACCCTTAGGGCAGGTAACACTCACATCCAGGGTGGGGCAGCCTTAATTCTAGCATCACACCATAAGTCTATCCTAACACTGCACCACGAATCAATCCCAGTATCACATCCAACTTGTTCCTAGCATTGAAAAATCCTAGATCAAGCCACCTCCAAAAAGCCCCACCTATGTTGCATGAGGCTTTCTTTATGGGGGACATCTAGATACAAGCCATAATGTTAACATATCTACCGCAGGTTATATCAGTGAGGAAAATTGTTACCTATTTCCCTGTACTAGGAATCTGATTCATCTATTATTGTTAAAGGAAGTGTGTCAAGCAATCAAGCAATGACTCTTTGGGTTAACTAAACATTCCTTCCCTCCTGGAATAGCTCAGACACCCTACTGGTTTAAATTCTTAAATACCAGCATAGGCTTGGTGTGGGATACTAAGACAAAAGTTAGTCAATCTAAAGGCATGACATCACATCATATTTAACAGATCACATCAGCGGCCACTTTCCTCCGTATCTGCTGCCTATGTGACTCCTCTATGAGATCCACTTTCTTGAAAAGTCCCCCACAGTCGGCAGCAGCTCTGAAAATCCCTGCCCTGAATTCTCCCTCTCGTCTAAATCCACTGTGGGTTCATCTGTATTCCAAAAGAACTTTGTTTTCTTTTTCTTCCCTTCTCTCAATCCTTTTAATCCTGTAGTTCAAGCAATTAACTCTACAAATATTAGCTGCAATCAAGGTCTAGCACATGTGGTAATTTTCCCTCTAATAAATCAATCAATTCTTTCCATGGAGTGTTTTTCCCCCTCACAGTCATTAGAGAATTACAATGCTACTTGAGGATCACCAGCAACTTGAATTAGTCAAGGAACGTCAATCAAATTTGCCAGATTTTGCTTTAAAGATGAGAAAAATGGGACAGATTTACAAAGCCCTCTTGTCTCAGAATAGGAAGCTTGATAGATCCTTATTGAATCTCTGTTAGAAAGGCCTTGGAGTATAATGATCCATTTGGAGGAAAATCAAAATCAGTACTGCCAGTGACAAATCAGACAAAATGTAGAACCTCTTATTAAATAATCTGAAACTTAATAATTGGAATAACCAACCATGCAGTATCCCTAGGCAATGCAATACTGTAATAGCTAATAAGTTACTACAACAAAGAAAGACAAATAATCCGGCAAATGGACAAATTTTAGTTCCATAACTTAAAATTTTTATATACTTTAATTTTTTGGTGTATGTTTGCAATATAAAACATTTACATTCATTTAGGGGTATTAGTGTATACACACACACACACACACACACACACACACACACACAAACATAGCCCCTTGTCTTTAGTTAGAAGGCACTGAAGGATACAAATTGTGCTTCTGAGACCTTATCTTAGAGTTGGGAACAGGGATCAAGGAGTACAGGGCCCAGTGAGAGACCATCTACCCATTCCAGTATAGCAGCTCAACTTTTGTGTCTTATTTCATCTAAGGTTCTGTAGAGGAAGTGGTTTTTCTGCTTTGAAATTATTTGAGAATCACTTATGTGGCACAGACTACTATTTTCATAAATACATAAAATGAATGCCAGAAAAATGGAATAATTTTTGATTGAGTGGCAGACCCCAAAATAGACCTTGTATCTCACCTTTCCACCCTATTTCATACCATGCTATTAAATGTGGGAAACAATGTCAGGTAAGAACTCACCTGCCTTTAGTTTGAGCTTTTTTTTTTTTGCTTTTGTTTTCAAATGGCCATAAGGAAAAAAAATTCAGCCAAAATAGCATGAGAAGAGACTAGAATGCTACATTAAAAACAAAACCAGAGTTTGCAATTGTGTACCTTTCTCTGTAGTCTTTCTAGTTACTCTGGAAAATTATATCATTATCTCATACCTGAGATGGGTTACAGGGCAGAGGGGGAGGCCTAGTTCCATTTTCTTGTGTCACCAAATGTATTCCTATTAAGATTGAAAGAAGTAAAGATTTCAGTAGGATACTTGGTGAAAACTTGCTGACATTAATGGCTCCAATTCTCAGAGACTGCAAGGAAAATGGTGTCATCACTGTCATTCAAGCCTTTTAAGATGAAATTTCAAAAGAAGGTTGTCAGGCATAATGACTGCCAGGTTCCATTATATCAGCCTCAGAGGGTGGATCACACACTACTATGCGGCCTGTGGGCGGCTGACGTTGGAGTTTGAAAGGAAGCTGCACAGAGAAGCAGTGATGTAGGCGTAGGACCCAAGGGGGGCTGCCTCACAGGACCGGGACACATCACTGCTGACATTCACATGGTAATTTGGGGGCCTATCTGTGGTCTGAGGGCTGGTCTTCAATCTTGGATATGCTGAAACCTGACCCAGGAGGACATTAGAGGAGATCATGCTCTTACTGCTGAACAACTTCTGGGAAGTTTGAGCTATTAATGCTCATACTATGACAATACTCCTCTCTGGTAACTGAGACATTTGTACCGAATGCATCCCAGCAATGAAATACCTGCAAAGCCTAGACAATAATCAGCAGACAGCTACATGAGGCCTGTGTAAGAGCAGCGGCTTTCAACTTTCCTGCACATTGCAATCATGGGTGGGGGACATGCTTCAAAGCTAAAGCCACACTCTCGAATCAAATGTATCTGACTCTCAGGGGTGAGGATGCAAACGTCAGTATTTTTAAAATCGCAAATGCGTTAGAGCAAAGGGCAAGGCTTAGTCAAATTTTTAAGTTGTCAAGTAAGGACATTAAAATTTCAGCTACCATTATTTCATTAAAGAAAAGAAATTTTAACAAGGATTAGAAAGGACATAACTCTAAGATACAAGATTAACTCACTATGTTGTATTTATTTTTACCATGGCTCGATAGACCAGTGATCACTTCACTACAGATTAATGCAAACCTAAGAATTGATGTGATCAAATTGCTTTCTACATCCATAGTCAAAGCTTTCCTCCTTGGACAGCTTTAGACACACTCGACTGGGCTTTAGTTAATTAAACTACTGTCCTGTGGCAACTACTCCTCTCTTGCCATAGCCTTTCTGTAGAGGTATTAACACTGTTAAGTTGTGATTTTTGTTCCTTGACTTTAGAAATGTTCTGTCTTTTCCAATTACCAAAAATGTTGATTTAATACATTTAACTCTTCTCAGACATCTTGAACTGTTTCTAAAGTGGGTGGAACATGTATATCCCTAGATAAGTAAATATTGATGCCATCTTGTTTTATTATGATGACCATTACTCTAAATCCAGGCAAGAAATAGCTGGATTACCAAATTATCTGAGTTGTGTTGTTTTTATGTGTGTCAAGTTACAGAGAAAATTAGTCTCGAAATAAAAAGACATATTTGAAAGCTTATTTTGAGTGCCTCTTTGGAATCTATCTGCCCATTTCTTTTATGTTGCTTTTAAGGTACATTGGTATTGGCATTCTTGAATCAGTTCACACTTGGTTGTCTATCCTTAACAAGTCAGGCATTAGCAACTAGTAAATGAGTTGCTCACCTATACTCCAAGACTACCTCCAAGTTTCCTTTAAAATGTGCATAAGACAGAGGCTCACTTATGTTTGACAATGGTGTGAAATAAATCTTCATTTATTAATTTCTTCTAAGCCAATATGCTTAGGTGTAGATCAGGAGAATAGTAGCTAGAATAAATATGTGCTTTGGGCCAACAGGGAAAGTTCTATTTGCAGATGTCTGCATTCTACAGAAGCTCAAGATGTATAACTAACATCAGCTACTCGGCCCTTACTACTACTCCAAACCCAACCCAACCCCAACTGAAATGCTTGCTGTCTTTTCAAGGTCAGGGGCACTACTTAGCATAAACCTCAGATTTCCAAGACTTTATCTGACTACCAGTGCCCATCGTTTTCAGCAAGTTGCCTGATCTTTCTGGACTCAGTTTCCTATCTATAAAATGGGAATATATTCATCTTGCACATCACTTTATATAATTGTAAGATTTAAATAACATAATTCAAGTAAAATACTTAGCAAAGACCCAGACATACTAAACACTAAAAATTAACTTTGTAGGTCAGAGCTCAGCAAAATAACATGGCATTCAGTAGATGTTCAGTGAATAATCACATACCTATGCACACATATATACACTTCTATTCGCAGAAGGCGGAATTTCATGGGACATGCAAAATAAAGAAGCTGTCCCTGAACTCCAAGCTTCAGTTTGCAGGTCCTCACAATTTAAGCAAATCTATTTTGTTACATAATCTTGCCCATGACTTTGTCTTTTGTCTCCCCAAAAGCTAATCTTCCTTGCCCTTCTATGCTGAATTCTCTCTGACCACAATCCCCTTCCTTTAAAATGCCCTTGTCTTTATAGATTCTGGTACTTATTAGACCCAGAGCCACATTCCCTTTCTGTCATACTGAAGCAGCCTAATACTTTCAAGGAAAGCACTTAGAAATCCATATATTTTCACCTGCATCTCCATATTTTCAAATTCTGCCAAGAATTGGAATCGCATCCTCTATTGATACGTCAATTCTGAGCCATGACTCTAAGAGATGGAGGTAGGAGGACAAGTCCCTGTGTTGCTCTGGGGTGCTTCATATCCATACAGAACCCAATGCAGTGCAATATTTTTATCCTGCTATAATTAAAAAGTTTCAAGCTCAATTAATTACTATTTCTCAGCTTCTTTCTACCTCTGCCAAAGCCCCTCTTTTTCCCCCACCAGAAACAAAAACAAACTAAAAATACATCAAGAGACGAGCTTCTCGAGTTGCTTAAAATTTACCATAGGAGTCGAGCCTGTTTCTGAAAGTTTCAACTCACCCAATCAGACAACAGGCGGAGGAAGGGAGGCCTTTATCAAGTTACAGAGGACTCCATCTGTTATCCTAGACCTTTGTTACCAAGTGACACAAGAGGACATACTCTAAGGTAGTTTGAAAGAGTTTTATTTTACAGATTCTTAGTTCAAAGATCTCAATTTAGAGAGAAGAAGCAGGACAAGAGGAGAGAAGCCAAATATGAGTAATGAAGATGACTTCGTAGGCTGACATTCAACCCAGCGAGAAACACCATCCATGGGGAAGTTGCCTATTCAGCTGACGCCTGTCCCTTCGGCTTTATAGTAAATGCAATCAAAGACGCAGTTTCTTCTTGATGCATACAAAGGTCCTGCTTTTGAACTGCACCCTCGTAACAGCTGTTTTTTATCATGCCAAACCAACAGAAGAAAATCATTTTTTGCATGGCTGGGGTGTTAAACATTGTGTGCGCTCTTGGAGTTGTGACGGCTCTGGGAACACCATTGTGGATTAAAGCCACCATCCTTTGCAAAACAGGGGCTCTGCTCGTCAATGCCTCAGGACAGGAGCTGGACAAGTTCATGGGCAAGATGCAGTACGGGCTTTTCCACGGAGAGGGTGTAAGGCAGTGTGGGTTAGGAGCAAGGCCTTTTCGGTTCTCATGTAAGTAACAATTACGTGTGAATTATTGAATACTCTGGAACACTTGTCCAACTGTTGCAAGAATTATGTTAAGGGTCTACCTATTTATTACAGGATTTTTTAACTAGTGTGAACCATTTTAAATATCTAAGACTAAGAGTTATTTCTTACTTCTAGTTTTTATTATTTTGTTTTTATTTTATTAATTTTTCATTCTGGCTATTTTTATTATGACAACATGTAGTTCATTGGTTGTTATGTAACTAAACATTTTGAAAACATAAGCAATTAAGAATCTTAAATATCTTTGGATCTTCTATGTAAAGTATAATGTCATCTGCAAATAATAATTGAGTTTTTCCTTTCTTATATCTATTCCTTTTATCTTTCTCTTGCCTAGTTGCTCTAGCTAATATTTCAAGTACTATGCTGCATGGAAGAGGTAAAAGTGATATAGGAGATATATAACTCCCAGCCTGCTAGATGTCAGATGTGCCAAATTTGTGTCCCACAAAAATCAAAGAATGAATTTCACGGAACAATGGAGGTTAAGAGTAGGAAGAACTTATTAAGAAATAGCTCTTGAGAGACATGAAGGGGGTCCCAAAAATGGGTTGCCACCAAGGCCCTTTGTCAGAAATAATTTATACAGCAAAGATACAATGTGGTACAACAAACTATAATCAAGCTATAGGACTACAAGTATAGCTGCTTAGCTAATATGGATCCGGTAGGGAAGTGAGTCACATAGCAAGGGTACATAGAAAGAACAAAGACATTTTTGGGAAGGGACCAGTCCAGATTCTCTTGTCATCCACCTGGGCGACTGATGCCTATTTGCACTTTTTGGATCAGTGGTGTTATTTATAGTATGATTTCAAGTTACTTTTTACCCCTTAGGGAGCCACGTAGGCTGGCCATTCCATCTTTATCTTGAGACCTGGTCATCTTCAGATGTGCCTCCAGCCACAATTCTTGTAGCTCTTAATTTTTCTGCTGACTTCCTTGAAAGCCTAGTTGCTCTCTGACTGTACATTAATTTCTATCTGAATTAGCTGCTTATAGTAATAGTGAACATCTTGTCTTATTCCTGATTTTAGGGAGAATGTTTTTACTTTTCCCCATTTAGTACGATGCTGGCTAATGGTTCATCCTACTTAAACTTTCACTATATTCAGGTATGTTCCTTCTATACCTGTTTTCCACTAGCCTAGCACTAGCAGGTTAACAGTCATCACTTGGGGCAGACATAAAAAAAAAAAAAAAAAAAAAAAAA